CCATCAGCTGATGTGTGTTTACGATTAGCTGTGATCAGCTGATATAGCTGGAATTGAGAGCTGAGCTTGACTTCGTGGCCTGCCTGAACTAACGCTATGCTTAATTTTTGACAACTCATCAGAAACTATTGGGCCAATCATTCCAAAACTCTGTCAGGATCATCTACAGACTTTGCTTATCTAAAGTTATGAAGGAAATTCCGATACATGTTTGTTTGTTGTACATTGTTAGGGATGCTCTGTCACAGGGGGGCGCCATGGATGCAATAAGTTTATATCTGATTTGAGTGAAATTTCATTCATATGTTCTATAGTCATTTTCATATAATTATATAAAGTTTGGTCATGATTGGCGAAAAGGGGATTTGCTCATGTGTGATGAAAGGTTGCCTCACTGCAGCCTATGGTAAAGTCAGAAGTCTGTTACTCTATATTTTTCAAAATATGCAAAACCAACTAACATCTACATCTCCACAAATATTCATTCAAATGCTATGAAAATCGACCCAGACATTCTTTGGAAACTAGATATCACATGTTTCGAATGGTGTTCAAATTGGTCAAACAATGATCAGTAGTGGTTGAGTTGTTAAAACAAAAATCATAACTAATGGCAGAACTTACTCGTTAAAACAACCCAGTATTTGTTCCAAAGATCCGTCAATCGGCTGCACGTGACTTCCACTAATACACACCGCACAACTGAGCTGAGAGACCATACAAACACACACATACAAAATGACAAAGTAGAAATGTATTTAAAGAAGGGGGAAATACTAACAATTATCATTTTGTGATCATAAGCTTAGAGCTTCATGAGCAGCCATAAAACAGAGCTGCTACTGAAAAGCCACTGTAACGGTCCATTATTGTGGGGGGAGAAATGTCAACATAGTAGAAATCACAAAAAGCTGATAAAGATGATAAAAGTAACTTTCAGCCATAGCTGTCTTACCTTTATAACTTGGGAGTACACAGCCATTTTGAGGGTGACACTCGTGCCAAGGGACAGACCCATCATGGCGATCCTGCTGCCGAGGACTTGAGGATGCTGCTGGAGGACTCTATAGGCCGTCTGCATCAGGAAATCATTTGTGATATAGGAAGAAAAGAAATGAGTTTGTGTGGATTTTCATGCTTTATATTAACATGCATTCCAAAACACTATTGTAGAGGATAAAGCATTGTGCGTCTTTCTGCATTTCTTGTTGTTTACATCCTGGTGGTAACTGGCTTTGCATTTTAGTAAGACTTTGTCTAACTTAAACCTTGAAATAAATATTGTTTTCCTGTTAAAGCAGGATTTGAGGTGCTTTTCCTTATCTGAACTGAAGCTCTAAGGCTAGAGGGTGTCAAATGTTGGATGAAGCCCTTTGAGACAATTTTGTCATTTTTGACTGTAGTGTTTGTTTATTGTTCCACTCTCTCTGCCATAAAAATTATCATGTCAATCCAGATCCAGCCACTCCCTCCTGTCCTGAAGGCTGCAGTAATGCATGCAGTAACTCCCTTCCCAACGTTTCCACCACCGATATCCTGGTTTTGACCCTCTCCTGGCTTTTGATGAAAATGTCTAAGAATTTTATTCTACTCTGCCTGCCTCTGTCATGCTTTTGGGTCCAAGTATATTCTGTGCCATAATAATTGCACCCCCAGCCAATGAAAAAACTGCTGACGCTGCCGGGCTGAGAAACAGTTATGACTGTATTACACCATTGAGGTTAATCGTGAATTTTAAAGGTCCCATATTGTGGAAAGTGAGATTTCCATGTCTTGTGTGATTATAAAGCAGGTAGGTGCTGTATAAATACTGTGAAAGTATTAAAACGATCAATCCACAGAGAAGGCTGCCCATATTCAAGCTGTCAGGACTCCCGTAAGGTTGTGATGTCACAACTGTATAGTCACCCCCAGCCATGCTCCCAGCACAGCCCATCCATCCAAGCTTTGTTTGTTGTTTTAACTTTATTAAAAGTTAAAACAACTTAAGTTAAGTTAGTATTTTATTATTGATTAACAACACAATACCAAGCAGTCATTGCACTGCTGAGCCAGCAAGCTACAAGACAGAAACATCTGGAGGAAACGCTGCACAGCCTTAAAAAGACGGCTTGTTTCAAACAGAGGATGAAGTGAAGGAGTGCATTAAAGGCCAGTATAAAATAAATAAGTATTTTTCTCAAATTGTGAATCATGATCACACCAACAAATACTTTGGGTCTGGGTCAGACTCTTAAACGACACTTCTTCCAGTTATATTTCATTTCAACACTTCAACACTCTCTGGTCTGAGTGAAGGTGAATGAACCTGTGAACCATTTTTATTGACACATAAACACAGATAACACACTTCCAGGTGTGTGCAGCAAAGACTTTTAACCTACATAACTCAACACAATCTTAACACAATATGACAATCTATCTCACACCCAAAATAAATGATTATTACCAGTATGCAGGTTGTAGCTCATGATCTTCACCCAAGCACTAGTGCCGCAAGGTCTGTATTTTTTGCTGGGAATTTTGGAATCTAAAGTGCAATTTATATTTTGTTATTTGAAGTTACACATAATAGATGATTTGAAAGCCGGTCAAGGTCAAAGCTATGGAGGCACCACATTTGTGACTGGCTGCTCATGGAGATTCTTGATAGTGACTAAAACAAGTTGAAGGAAGGCTCAGTTAGAGCTTAAACACTTTTTTTTCAAAAAGTTTCAGCTTTAGTTTAGGTTTCGGTGTTGCAAATACTTAATTTAAAAAAAAAAAAAAGTCAAACATTACCTGGTTCAAGCTCCTAGATTATGGGCTACTTTGTCTTATGTGATAGTAAACTGGATATCTTGGAAACGTCACCTTGGGCTTTACAGAACTGGTTAACTGACAAAATAATCGGTAGATTAATCGATGAAGAAAATGTTAGCTTCAGCCCTAGACTCATTAGTCTTCACCTCAGTAAAACATATCTCCTAATTAAACATTAAGTATTGACACAAGGCGAAATAGAGACTAATTGGATGTATAACTCCAGTCTTACTTAGTGCATAGCCTCCTGTCACTCAGTATCACAATGTGAAGTGAAAGGGTGTGAGGATTATAATTAAAGGACGATATGGTTTGATCACATACAACATATGTCAGCAGGTGAAATCCTGAACTGAAAATCCATTTCACGTCGGCTGCATGTGAAAGTAGGTAGCTGTTTGCTAACGTCTTAGCTACAACTGCTTCATAAACTGGTAACATGTCCGAGCTGTGTCTGTCAGTTTGTTGTAGAGTTCTGCTGCTCCCTGGTGGCCATTACATCAAGGTTTTTATTATTCTGGGGTATTCTGAATGAACGATGATTAGGCTTTTTTTGTCATTTAGATGCTTTACCTCAAAATACTGGTTGTCCACTAACTTCCCAGTTTCCATGGTGATTTTCGGTGTCAGGTAGTCAAGGGCCAGAGAGGCGATGCCGTGGGAGGCCAGCAGTGCTGACCGGTACTCCACCAACTTCCCTCCACCCCCCCACAGATCCAAGAGGCCGGGGAAAGGTCCTGGTCCTTCAAACAAGTAAAAACACCAAAAACAGTTCACACTTTACACAACTATACTGGTTAACTTTCATGGTTAATGGTAGTCTATTGGTGATTGTTGCTCAGAATGTCAGACCTCAGCTGCACATATAGGACTCTCCTCTGGTCCTACCTGAGGGCAGGAAGAGGGTCGCAGTGAGTCCATCCTCTGTGATCGGGACCCTGCGGACACCGGGCGCCATATACCAGCGCTCCACCACCACACCAGCCAGCGGCACCTGATCCACGAAGCCCTCAGTCCGGTGACCCTGGTACACCGAGATTGTGACCTCCATGGGAGTCTGGACATCTTTCATCTTCCTCATCCTGAGGGATGATGGGAAAGAGTCGATGCTGATACTGATAATTGGTTCAGTATTGACTGGTATCATCTGAACATTCTCCATTCTTTGTTGGCCTACCTGAGCCCAGGTTTGCTGCCTGGAACTGGTCTGAGGCTCCACAGTAGACCCATCGGTTCAACCCCAGAATATGTCCCACCCAGACTGGGATCTTCTGAGACTGTAAAGTAAAAGGGGCGAAGAATTGTTTTTATTTGGATGCTCATGATAGTGTATTCAAAATTCACAAAATGTCGTATACCTGCAAACATTTCTAAATTAATGTTCCTGGATTTTCAAGGTCCAGGCATTGAACCATGTACCATTCACAGTCCCGGTGGCATTGGCAGTATAGTGACCAAACGCCTCCCAGCTGTGTCCATCTTCACACTTGTGGAGGGCATGAACAGTCAGCTGGAAACCAGGTGGAGCGTTCTGAACCAGGATGATAAACTTCTCATCCATGAGTCCTCTGGACGGCTGGACTGACAGCTTCACACAACACTGCTTCATGTCCATCCTGAACTGAGCAGACAAATAAAATAACAGACACATATGTCAAACTGTGGACAAAATAATAGACCAACCAAATCAACCAAATCTATATTATTAAAATGTAAAAAAAAAAAATTATATATATATATATATATCAATGCAATTAAGGCAGAAACTCTTTTGGGTTAAACTGAGTTGTACCAATAATGATGTTCACGTGTCACTAAATGTAATCCAGGATTTCCCTGCAGGTCTCACACAGAAGTGGGATGATACGTGAAAAAAGAGAGCTTGGGAGAGAAGTAGATAGTTCTAAACAACCAGGACACTAGTCCACATGTAAACACACTGCAACTCATTTGTCATAAATCCAGTTTCCTTGATACTGTACTAGCTAGTTTTTTATGATACCTTTGGTCTACCTATTGTTTATAGTTCCTCATCTTTTTCACAGCAGGATCAAAAAAATGTCACTGTGAAGTATGGTGTAGGGTTCAAGGTGAAGCCTGGGACATCATTCATCAACTATTCATGTGTTAGCAATCATACACTGATACAGGTTACTCTTCACAGTTGCAGGTTTTCTCTGCTCTACTGAACTTTACTACTTTAGTTTGTGGGCTGTGAATATTATCAGATAGTAGAGCTCTTGTTTGAAGATTATTTAAACCTATAAATGATGTCATTTAAAATGAACTCTTTGCATTAACCAGTGGTGGAGGGAGTACTTAAATAGCAACAAAACAAAAGTTATCCGTTATCAGAAAAGGTTATAAAGGATTATCAGTAAAATGTACTTAAAGTATGAAAAGTAAAAGTACTCATTAGGTAGAGTAACCCTGTAAGACTGTTTATTGGTATCAAGTTGTAATTATTATTATTCCACAACAGCAGTATTTTAATATTTGTTAAGATCATATATACTGTCAGTGGTTGAGCAATTTTTGACTACATTGTTCACTATTGGGTAGTTAAATAAAATGTATCATTCTTTATAAACTGATCATATGTATTTTATATAAAATCTGCAGATTAACTTGTAACTATAGTTTTCAGACAGAGTAAAAAGTAGAACATAACCTATCCCTCTGAAATACTTAGTATCAGTCCATTACCAAGAGGGTCGTTTATAAACTCAGAGGAACGTCCCCTCAGCAGGCTGAAAAACACATGAATCATCTGAATCAGTGTAGTCGTATCAAAGGCCACACAGTGTCTCCATACCCTAAATAACAGCAGAGCTCCTTACAGGGCGCAGTATGGACAGCACTTACTGCACACTGAGAACAGACTCACACCTGTTGTCTTCAGGTCTGTCGTCTTCAGCTGTTGAACTCTTCACAGAGGCCGCAGAGCAAAATCACGACCGAGTCAAACTCACTACAGCTCACTGACAGACCGAACTTTACTTTAACCTTCTGAAGTCCAACCTCAGCGGGTGGAGCTTCAGTCTCCTCCCACAGCAACACCGCGGGGACCGGACGCCAGATGGCGCCGTCGACTCACTCCAGATTCTTACACATCAGCGTGCCTGTCTGCTGCTGGGGTCTGCTTAGGACCTCGACCTGTTGCACATGTACTCTCCAAGCAGAGTTGCGCTGTTTTGGCTGAAGACTACTCGTTTTAATTTAGTTTTATGATTTAGGTTATATACTGTGCAATAATCCAATTTACAGAGGGATGTTTGAGTACAATCATATTATCCCTCCATATGGTTATATCTGTATCAGTGAATGTCTATACAATGTCTACATTTTATTTTTATCTATATTTTTATTCAGTACTAAATCATTCTCAGAAACTTCTTACCTTAAGTTTGAAAATAAGAATAAAGACACACACTCACTCCCATCTCTCGTAGGTACCAAGTTCTGCCAATGGAGAAACAACATGACATATCTCAGTCTGCTGTGAGCTTAAGGGGTTGCCAATCCCACTAGTACATATAATAGAAAATGTAACTGTGCCAGTTATAATTTGAAAAATATATTTTATAAATGATTGCTCATTCATGATTGCTTGTGGCTGCCCCCCATTATTGAAAGATGTATTATTTATAATAGGTCTCACTCACTATTAGCCTATATCTTCACAGTTAATTGGATCTTATATATAATGCATCATATATTTTATATGTTACTTGTGTATTAGTTTATTATCAGGTCAACAGCTGCTCTTAATACTAATTGACTGAAAAAAAATTACTTATAAGTGAAGAGTGGAGAAACAAGAACAAGACAATAAGAATAAATACAAATATTCATGTTTAATGACATAAATAGAAATCAAAATGAACTGAACAATAAAGCCACACAGATGTTATATGTATGAATAAATGATGCACTGTCAGTCACATGTCTCCAGAAGAACCCACACGCCCTCTGACCTTTGACCTCTGAAGAAAATGGAGAGGTGCGGGGGGTAGCTGCTGCCCAACTGAGTGCACAACAACAAAGTGTCGTCATCTGGTTGTCAGTCAGCACCAAAGCATCCATCTGTCCCCTCACAGGCCCTCTGACTTTATGAGGGGCCAAAACATATAACATGTTCCTCTGGTTCCTCTGGTTCTTGTCAATCCTGTGGCACCTCTGCTTTTACTCAAAGGATCGCTCAGACAATTTATGGAATCCTCTCTGCCGTCTTAAGGCCTTCTCACACTGTAACTGAGTTTTCTCGGCAATCTGTTGACCTCCTCAAGTAAGAACTAAGAAGTAAATCACTGGCTCCAACAAACTGTGTTACACTTCCAGACCTATATAATAATGTATAAATGTATAAACATGTTTATTGATATCAGACTTTGAAGGAAATTTAAGACAAATGCTAATTTTTAATTAAATTAATAATTATTATATATTATATTATTATATAACATTTTGTGTCATGTTTTTTTTTTTACAAAGGCCTCCTGGAGTTATGAGAAATCAGTATGGGGGATTTTGGTAAAACACACCACACAGTTTCTTCTGTTGGTTAGCCTGTCACTGGTCGCCGTTACCTCCCACTTCACACACCCATCTCCACAAGGCCACGCCCCCTATTGGATTCTCTGGACTGCATTTTTTTTATTTGCTGGGGGGGGGGGGCAGAAGTTAGGGGTTTAGTTACAATTCAAGGGTAAG